TGCAAGCCCAAAGCAGCAGAGGGCCCGGATTTCAGATTTTTTGAAAGGGAACCCAAAAATCTGAAACAGGCCTAAAGAACTAAAAAAACATTTTGGGTTGACAACAAGACTTTTACCCCCCATCACAAATAAAGGGGGCTGTGGGAAAGAAGACAAAACTGCCTGTAAAGGGCCCAAACATGGAGACTGAGAAAGAAAAGAGCTAAGCTATATTGGAGGCCCTAAAAAAGACCACAGAGAGCCCAGGGGAAAACCGAGAAGGGGAAAAAGACAGGCCCCCTGACCCCAAAATACATTTGCCGTGAAACTGAAGAAAAGGAAAAACTGCAATTTGGGGGAAATCAAATTGAATTTTAGGGGGTTTCACAGGGAAATCAGGGGGGCATAAAGGGGGGAGGTCAGGGCCCCTTTTGTATGGGCCCAGGGAAATTGAAGGGGAAAAAAAGGGAAACCAAAAAAACAAGGGGGAAAAAAAATAATTGAAAGCAAACATGAAAGCAATAGGAAAAAAGAAAGACATGACCCAGCTGGAAAATTTTTTGGAGAATAGGGGGGTTTGTAAAAAAAAAGAACCCGGCCAGTGAAAGTGACCTTCAAGGGGAAGCGACTCGGGAAAAGAAACCCCCGCAGGGAAAGGGACGATTAAGGGGCAAGCCAGCATACGGGAAAGGGGTATCTCGGGCCCGCGACAGAAACAAGCAGAAAGGAAGAAAAAAAAGAGAGATGGTACCCAAAAGGGGAAAGGAGGAAAGAAAAAAGGGGATGGGGGAAGACAGACAGGAGATCCCAAGACACAGGAAGATCCCAAAAACAGCATCCCCACCCCAAAATTCCCCAAGGAACCTCTCAACCCGGCAACCCCAGTGCAACCAAACACCCCTAAAACCCAAAAAACCCATGCCCCCATCCAAAGCCCCCACCCACTGTTTAAAAAACTTTTACCCCCACAGCAACCACCCATATTTTCCAATTTAGGTCCCCCCACTTTCCCCCAAACCCCCAAAACACCTCCCCCGAAACCCAAAAACTTAGAAAAGAAGTTTTTAAGGTGTGGTATACAAATGCAGAAGGAATAAAAAAAATAAGTAAGAGGATTGGGAAAGAAAAAAATCAAGGGGAAAATCCCCAAAACATAATACAATTTACAGAAACAAAACTCACCAAATAAAAAAACAGATTCAATCTTTCCATCCGGATATCAAATCCTCAGGGAAAAACAGAGGGAGGGGGGGGGAGGAGGAGTTCACTCTCATTAAAAAACCAGTGGGGGTTTTTAGAAAATGGAAGGAATGGGTGGCCCCGGGCAAACGGACTACTTAAGGGAAAAATCCAGTCAGAGGGACATAAAGGTGATAATTGCTTTAAAGTACAACCCACCACAGAACTGCAGGAGGCCAAGAGAAGAATACGATGAGAGCAACAGAGCAATGGTCGACACACTAGCCGAGGTGGCCAGGAGAGCACACATGGGAGGAGCAAAGTTACTAGTTATGGGTGGTTTCAATCACAAGGAGATTGACTGGGAAAACCGGGAGCCCCATGGGGTCCCAAAACATGGAGAGCCAAGATGATGGATGTGGTACTGCAAAACCTCATGCATCAACATGTTAGAGACACTACCAGAGAGAGAGGAGAGGATGAACCAGCAAGACTGGACCTTGTATTCACCTTGAGTAGTTCTGACATCGAGGATATGTATGAAAGGCCCCTGGGAGCTAGTGATCATGTGGTTCTGTGCTTCGACTACATAGTTGAGCTCCAAGTGGAGAGAGCAGCAGGAATAGGGTGGGAAAAACCAAACTACAAAAGGGGGAACTACTCAGGCATGAGGAACTTCTTTCAAGACATTCAGTGGGAGAGGGAACTGACAGGAAAACCAGTACAAGAAATGATGGACTATGTGGCAACAAAATGCAAGGAGGCAGAGGAGAGGTTTGTTCCCAAGGGAAACAGAAATAATGGGAAGAACAGAATGAGTCCTTGGTTCACTCAAAGGTGTAGGGAGGCAAAAACTAGGTGTACTAGAGAATGGAAAAGGTACAGAAGACAGAGAACTCAGGAAAATAAAGAAATCAGCCGAAGAGCCAGAAACGAATATGCACAGATAAGAAGGGAGGCTCAGCGGCAATACGAGAATGACATAGCATCGAAAGTCAAGACTGACCCGAAAGCTGTTGTACAGCCACATCAGGAGGAAAACAACAGTCAAGGACCAGGTAATCAGACTGAGGAAGGGTGATGGAGAATTCACAAGAAACGACCGGGAGGTATGTCAGGAGCTCAACACAAGATTTAAAGAAGTATTTACAGTGGAAACCAGTAGGACTCCAGGAAATCAGAGCAGGGGGGTGCACCAGCAAGTGCTGGATGAGGTACATATAACCAAGGAGGAGGTGAAGAAGCTGCTATGCGAACTTGACACCTCAAAGGCGGTGGGACCAGACAACATCTCTCCGTGGGTCCTTATAGAGGGAGCAGACACTGTGTGTACCATTAACGA